TTCTTTCCAAACACCTGGAATTTCCTGACCTGTCGCACCGGCAGTTGGGAAAAATGTTGAACATTCACCATTCAACCGTCTCCAGAGTGTTGAAGCGGTTCCAGGAGCGGTTGACGTTGGACCACGGCAAAGGAGCTGGAAGAAAACCGGGACCGGAGAACAAAAAGACGGAGGGAAAGGTGAAGCGGATGATTAAAGCAAATCCCAACGTCTCAAGCCGTGATTTGGCTAAAAAGATCGGCATGTCGCAGAGCTACGTCCAGAATGCAAAGAAGAGAGCTGGACTACATACATACAAGGTACAGAACTTCCCAAACCGCGATGAGCGGCAACAATCGACGGCTAAAACTCGGGCACGGAAGCTCTACGAGAAGATGCTGACAAAATATGGCTGCTGTGTGATGGACGACGAAACGTATATAAAAGCCGATTTTAAGCAAATTCCGGGGTTGGAGTTTTTCACCGGCAAGAGCAAGTTTGATGTGGACGACAAATTTAAGAAGAAGAAAATGTCGAAGTTCGCCTCCAAATATCTCATTTGGCAGGCCATCTGCTCTTGCGGACTGAGGAGTGAGCCTTTCGTGACAAAGGGCACAGTAAATGGCGAGATCTACAAATCTGAGTGCCTCGAGAAGCGCCTTTTGCCGTTCTTGCAGCAGCACGACAAAGCTCCGCTATTTTGGCCAGATTTGGCATCATGCCACTATTCTAAAAGTGTCCTGGAGTGGTATGAGGCCAATTCTGTCCATTTTGTTCCAAAGGACATGAATCCCTCAAAGTGTCCGGAGCTGCGCCCGGTGGAGCAGTACTGGGCAATAATGAAGCGGGAACTTCGGAAGAGCAAGAAGACAGTCAAAGACGAGAAGGACATGTTAAGAAAATGGAAAAAAAACTGAGAAACTGGTACCGGATGACACTGTAAAGACTTTGATGGAGGGCATCAAGCAAAAATGCGTTCAATTTTACACTCAAGGCTCCATCGATTAACTTTTCTTTTGATTTTTGAAGTAAATATATGTATAAAACTACCCTAAAATTTTGGTTTGATTCTAAACATTATAAGAAAATTGGCATGACATTTTCGGTGTCGCAATAATTTCGTGTTCGCCTTTTAAAAGTGAACTGGCCGTTGGGTACTTTTTTCTTGCCGTGCAAGAGAAGGGAGAACGTACGTCATTTAGATCGACTGACTCACAAAGCACCTTCGCGAGGCATGCAGTGTTGCCATTTGTTTAAATCTTCGTGTGTGATATAAAATCAATTTCAAACTAAATAAAAAATGTATCTGTTTACAGTCACCAATCACCCAGGCTTCGTTTATATGGATGTACATGTTCTACAAAATCACAATCACAATCATGTTATTTTTTTTACTTTAAAATAAAATAAATACTATCAGCGTTTCACATACCTACACGTAACGTAAATTAATTATAATGTACATGATTTTCATTTATGAATGCTTATCAAAACATCAGCATGATAGTTTCTTTTTGGGAAACTGCGTACCGTGAACGTGGGTTATTCCACACGTGTAGTAATTCCGCGCACTCGACAATCGATTTGATTAAATTCGAACAATTTGGAAGTACATGTCCCGTGTATTTTCTGTGTCCTGTCAAAAAGTTTCATCGTTTGGTATACCAATTTGGTATTTGAATGACAAATCCGCGGAATTACAGCTCACGTAGAATAACCCACGTTCACGGTACAACCTATGTTAATTGATAAACTATATGTGTGCCCATTAAAACAGTTTATATGACATATTACCTACATTATTTTTCTTGCACGTCTTCTAGTCATTAGTTGACTTTAATAATCATCAATAGTAATTTTCCAGAAAGTATAAGAAAGAATCATCATGATAAAACTAGTGTATCATTATGTAAAACTAAGCATTATATGTATGGATAACTTTAGGTAAACAGTATTGTTCTAACGAAACAGGAGAGTTCAGTAATCATCTAGTTCTTACATCATTCTGAGAACTTAAGAGTAGGCATGGAATATATCATTTTTTGACACTATTTATTCTAAAAATCCTGAAAATTAATTAAAATGTGCAAGTATAAGTAAATGTTGGGTGATAATTAGTTTCTATATATATCCACTAAACCAGGACTCCGCTGTTTGGTAATTTTTGAACTACGGAACTGTTCGGTAAAAGTTTACAAGTCAGTGAAAAATTTAAAAATTTGGAAATTTATTCCGAAAATGTTAACCCTATTTAATGATACAATACAAATGTGTCGCTTTTATTAATTTCCTTCGAGTAACGGTCATTTGAAATTTTTCCAATTTTTTCAGCTGTTCTAGAACCCGGCAAAATTTACCGACTTCGGTGATCCGAATTTAGTGTGTAGCTAGAATTTTCAATACATACAGGTCCAGCAATCGTTTCTGTTTGGACCCGAATGCAAACATGAACTCTAAACACACTTTCTTTCGCTGATCCATGTTTCTTGTGTGGGGAAATTGAGACAAGTAATATTGACTTTAATACATTGAGGTAATAAGGCTTGTAACGTATTGCCATTAATGTTGTCGATATTCTTATATCGATGATATTGATAACGAAATTGACGGTTTTTTGTCAATACATTCTGAGTATTGACAAAGTGAAATTAAAATCAGCTTTTCGTCAATACTCGTCATCAATCATCGTCTTCAATATCACCTTTTCAATAATATTGTCAGTATGTCAATTTATTGTCAATATATATTGATATGTGTAATGGGCGCTTTACGATTTTTTGTAAGCAAACCACCTCAATCTGTCAAATTCCTAAGAAAAAAAGTAAGGGTAACAATATCGTGCACAAGGTGACTACAAATAGGTGTTCTAATGTGTCAAATTCATAATTCAGCCACAGACAAACAGACGTAACTCTTTGAAAACGTTTTTCTTGAAAACATAGTATCTCAAAACATATGACCTCAGTAACGACATCTCTCGGGCTTCTCGCGGAAAACAAGCTTGCTCGCTAACTCGCAAACAATATTGCATACAAGTTCTATAGAATGTATACAAACGTCAAAGTGATCCGATACCACCGCTGCGGCGAGTAGTTTGCGGAACTGATAATATTTAAATCAACCGTTAAATGCGTGAACGAAGATACCCAATGAAGTGTTACGTCTGTTTGTCTGTGATTCAGCCATGTTGGATTTTTGTATGGGACAGCGACCGAGTTTGTTTACAATTTGCTCTAAAACCGCACTTCCCCCCCCCCCCCCCCCCCGCGACCTCCTCGCCTATATAGTGACAAAGCTGTATCACCATTTATATACACACCATGATCGTGCACTTCTCTACCGTCAATCGTGTGTAAACAGTCATTACACTCTCAAATGAAACTACACAAGTATACTTGTAAGAAACGTTGAAAAGTCAAGACGGGAAATCAATTTCTACGGGCCCAAAAGCTACATATCGTATAGCGGAGGAAAACCGTATGTTCATCAAGTTCAAATCAGAAGAATCGATGCTTCATTGTTTGTTACACAACCGTGTAACATTATGCCGACGGGAAGTCAGTTGAGGTACGCATGTCGCCTGCTGGGAGCACCTTCCAATACGTGAGAGTGTACGACCTCCCACCAGAAGTCCCGGATAGCGATCTAGCATTGGTGCTAGGGAAATAGGGTAGAGCGCTACTTCGTCGTAATCGCCCATTTCCGTTCTATCAATCAGAAAAGATCAATCATATCAATGATTTCACCGTGCCTAAATCAATGACAGGTTTGTTCCGATGCGTTAGTTCATTAGCTACAATATAAACCCTGTTAGAGCGCATTGTATGAATATTTACGCTCATTGTTCTCAACACAAAAGAAGCGCTCCTAGCGAATACCCTTTTCCTACGTTTATCCGTAGGACGAAGAAAACCTAATTGCGTTTCTATGCGTTAGGACGGAATTGAAACTCGTAGAATCAAGAAGCAGTATTAGATTTTAAACAATATCTCAACAATTTGTGACTCTTTATCAAATTCAACGGTACGTTTGGAAAGGTGAATGAATTTAGAAGACATGTTTGACAAAAATATTCAATTTTTTGTTTAAACTCGTTCAGAAAAGAGAGGTAAAGCGCGGGTTGTGCTTAGTAGGACGGAAATTAGATAAAAACCCCTACGGTGATGTAAAGCGTGTAGTGAGGGAGAAATTTCCAGCTACCTTGGGCCTCGACATGCACACAGGTGTGTGGGGTCTATATATGTTCCCAACTCGCTGCATTTCCTCAATCGAAAGAGGAACATATTCTATCAAGGGAACAAAAAATGTGTGTTTCCTTTCTAAGATGGATGGGCAACGGATGAATTCCTGCTCCAAGCGGAAGGATTGCAAGCAGCTATTTCAACAAAGAAGAAAACCAACAACGGAATTCGGAAGGGAAAGGAGTACGTACGCTGGTGTAGTAACTGGAGGTGCATCGCCAAACGATGAAATGGTTGAGGTCCCTGGAAGAAGAGGTGGTGGTGATGGATGTGACGTCCCCGGACGCCGAGAAGAACAGTGAAGAGAAAGCAAGCGCTGCCGAGAAACAGTAGCCGCCTGTTGTCAAGTGCAAAAATGATGCGTATCACTTCTACAAATTCGGGATGATGAACTTTACCGAGAAGGAGCAAATATAGGACGAAGGGGAGGCTAAGTGGCAGGCGCTGCTGAAGGAAAAACAATTGGAAGGAGCAAGGAAGTTGTCCCTCATTAATATTTCATTGTGATCATACAATTATTTAATGTTCTCGGCTCCGTGGAATTCTTTTGGACATTTGAGCCTAACAAATATACTAATTGAAAAAAAATGGCAGCTTACGGTAATCCATGTAACGACAATTCGTTTCAATTACCTACGACAAACTAGCAATCAAAGACAAGGTTTTAAGCATTCCATGGAGAAGCACGGTCTTCCATTAAAAAATAATAATTAAAAGATGATCGTCAAATCAATTGTCCATTTCGCCTCCCATTCCGCAACGTGTGGCCGATTTGCATGAAGGGGTTGGAGTGATGATTCAGATTCGATTCTGCCCTTTTTCACGTTCTCTCTCTCTCTCACTCGCTCTTTGACACTCACTCACTGCCTTTTCTTTGCCTCATTCAACGGTTTTAGTTCGCTTTTCTCAATTTCGGATTTAGATTGATATTGATTGTGATAAATTATGTGTGGGTATAAAAGTGATTTTAAACTGAAAATAATAGCTGCAAGGCTGTTGTTGCTGCTTCTGCTGCTGGTGCTGGCTGGACCGGATCGAACGAAAAGCTTTCGGATCGTCATGATGATGATGATGATGATGATGATGATGATGGTGATGTGGACGACGGCAACGGTGAGTGTGTTTGTGTGTTGGGTTGGAAGGATGAGCCGGTGGTGGGTGCGGTGGGAGGATTTGTGTGCTTTTCCCCTAGCTCTTTTATGCTCCTGTTTGTTCTTTTTTTTTTTGTTTTTGGGAAAGTGGGTCTGGATATGGTGAAATATATTTTTTTAGCAGGACATATGAGAAGGCGGATTTATCTACCAGTTTTCCTCCGTTGGAAGCGTGCTGGTTTCGCTTTTATGGATAGGATGACACTTGTCTCACTCTCTCTCTTTCTTTCTACTCGTTGCTGCTGCTACTGACTGTCGCTAGATTGTGCCGTATATGAAGCGAGGATTTTCCTTTTTTGTTTGTGTTTCGTGTGTTCCCTTTTTCTGGTTAGGGCAAATATAAAACGTTTCTAGCTTGTTGTTGTTGGTTGGTTGGTTGGTTGGTTGGTTGGTTGGTATACGACTATAGGACGAATGGAGTCGATCTCCCTCTCTACGTAGGTCTTGTCTCTAATACTCTGTGTGTAGGCAGCGTGGGACGTAGGTCATTCAGTTCACAAAACACAGGAACCGGGGGAAAATGTAATAAACAATAGACACATGGCCTTCTTATCCGTCGAAAAATCCAATATTTTTCCTTATCGGCGAGGCTGAGCTGCACTGCGAGTCTGTCTTCTTCAGGATGGACGATATGTAAGGACCGTCCCCGTTGCTGGCTCGGTGTATGGTCGTGACGGAGTCCTGTTTGGTAAGGCTACCGCCACGTTTCTGGTCAGCGAATGAGATAACCGAGTGTTGCTTGACCAGCTGATGACGTTTGTTTGGTGGTGCAACTGCGGCATTCTCGTACACTACAACGAGCAAGAACAATAGAGGATGCCGTTGATTAATGGTCGACGTTTGGAGTAGCGACGTGCGACGCTCATGCCTGTAGCATTGCGGGTGGTAGTGAAGATGGTTTTTGTGATGATGGTGGTGGACAGGTGGACAACTACTACGAGCTCCGAAAAGCGGCCAACTAGAGGGATTGGCTAGTTCTAGACAGGCAGTTTTTGGATTAGCTATTGACAATAGTGGTGGTGGTGGTAGTGCATTAGGAAATGTCGTGCTTTTACGTGCAGGAGACGTGCGTAGACACCAACTATGAGAAGGCTGCTGCTTACCTGATTTGGGCTCATTGAACGAGAAAATAGAGTCTTGTTTAACGAGTTTGTGTCTTTTATGTTCGATTATCGACAGGACACTATCCTGGCTGGACAGTGAGGCCGAGTACTTTTTGCTGGCACTCGAATGCTCAATGTACGAGATTTGCGTATCCTGTTTGCACAGAATGCCCTTACGTGGTTCAATGTAGGAAATCTGACTGTCCTGGCGGGAAATCGAATCCGACGCCGAACTCTGCTTCGAAAGCATGTCTCGTGAACCGTTACTGTCCTGCTTCAGGAGCATCTGGCGTGAATTGTCGCTATCTTGCCGATACAGTATTGCTAATGGATGAATGTTTTTTTTAAATTTTATTTGGTTGATGAGATAGAAGTGGTGGTTGTGGTGGTTTTGGTGGTGGCATGATGGTAGCGAACCAGACAGCGACAGACAGAGAAATAGAGGGAGAAACAAAGAAAGACAGACAATTCAGTACGACTCACTGCCAGGAATAGAGCATAACTCTAAAAATAAATCTCTAAAATATATAAAAATATACGAAACGGATATAGCTCTCTAGAAAGCTCTTCAACGAATGTGTGTATGTGTCGGTACACGTGAGCTCTACCGTCAAGTTAAAAGTATACAACATAATAGCTCTAATACTTCCGGCGTTGAACTTTTACAGTACCCGATCGTGATGCGATGCTGTCCTGTTTGAGTAGCGTCTGCCGTGATATGCTACTGTCCTGTTTGAGCAGCATGTGGCGCGAGAGGTTGCTGTCCTGCTTGGAGATGGAATGGTGCTTCCGGCCACCCTTCTCCTCGTAGATGTACGACACGGCGTCCGCGGACTTCATCGATGGGCTGTGCGGTGGGCGTTTGCTGCTGTTGTGATAGTGCGACGACTTACGGGTGCTGGTCGAGGATGACGCGATGGCCATGGTTTCATAGTACCTGTAATGGAAAATGGAAAACGATTTGTTGAGAGGATTCATTTGCGGTTATTGGGAATTTTGGTTCGGTGGGGAATCTGACAAGTACAGATGTTCATGTACACAATAGATCTTTCGTGTGGTGTTGGAGTTAGCAACTATTGCCATGGGTTTCAATATTGATTGTTGTTTGTATATTCGGATGATTTGATGCATAGAGTTTCAAATAGCAGCGAACCGCACTATTCGGGGACATGCATGTTGAAGAAGGCAATGATGGTGAATATTAGTAATAGTGGGAGCACTGTGTTGTTGTTTAATTGAGATTAGAGTTCGCGTTTCCAACAGAGACGTAGTGAGAGGGTGGTGAAAACAGGCCCTGCCTAGGACGACAAAGCAAAGGTGCGATTTCAAACAGTTTCTGTCTGGTAACTTTTTCATGCCATTAATTTGATTGACATTTTTAATCATTGAGCGAATTTTACGAGCATTCAGCAGAATCTATTCTGGAAAGTTATCTTAACAACTTCGATGGAGAATTCCGTAGTAATTCTGAAAAGAATTCAATGGGGTTTGCGAGGAGAACTTTAGGTGATTTCATTGGATAATTCCAAGGGTATTATGAGCAAATGTAAAGGGTACCGTAATCCGACGGTAAATGTAGTTTTAGCTTTCTACATTAAATGAAATGGACAATCTAATGATATTAAAATCACTAGCTATGGGGTCTCTATCGTTCTGTATGATTACTTATGATGTAGTGTGCTTTGTTTATTTTGACGTAGGACTACGTCTGTGATGTCTATGTGGGGGTACACTTTGTGAAAACCGAAAATGGAACATGTAACAAAAATATGAAAGATTTTGAACGTTAATAACTCAGCTGCCCCTGGACCAATTTCAATAATTTTAACACCAATCGATCAGAAATATTTCTACACACTTTATCAATTTCAAAATGTCACAATTTAAAATTGCACGAATGTGCAACTGTTGCTATTATAATTAAAATTATTACCGATTTCACTAACACAGATTTCAAAGTTGAATTCCATCCGGTCTCACCAAACGGTGTTTATTCAATCACCGCGTGGTGAATGGTGGTGTTCTCCAGTACACAACGAAAGGCTGCCTGCAAGCAGCGAGCTGCAGCCCACATGAGCATTCATAGAAGGAGGAAGAAGCCCCACCGCTATTGATCGGAATCAGTAGCGCTTTGTGAGTCGCTGTGGGCCATCTATGTCAAGCGTGTCATACTAAAGAGTATAAACAGAGGGAACCCCGCTCAAATTTCTATTCCTACACAAAACACAACCTCCTGCTGCAGTTAACAAATAAGTTTTTTTTATATATGACCACGTAGTCCTGTCCTGGCTGTCCCTTGTAGTTTTTTTTGATATTTTTTAAGATCTCAAATTTGAAAATATCGATATGAGGTGAAATTGATCAACCCCTCAAATGACTTTTGAGTAAATTTTCAGAAACTGTTATTATTAAATTTGGGATCCCTGAATATGAATCCTTGTGCAAAGTGAATTTTGAGCAGAAATTGCAATAACAAATCTTAAAATGCATGGTTGCGCCGAAATCTAGGCAGTATCGTTAAAATAGATGGTAATTTCACGGAAAACCATTGATTTCTCAATATTGAATTAAATTTACTGTATTTTGTTTTTAATTATTCAAATTCATTAACAGTTAGTTTAAAGAAAAATTCCACTACGGTAATGACCCGATTTTTTCAGCCCTTCCGCGCATCAGACTTTTAATTTTCAATAATTTAACATAACCGTAATTTGAAATCTTTCTTATCCAGCTTAAAGAAGGATGTTTAAGGTATACTTTGGTGCAACAAGTCCATCGAATGACACTAAAAATGCTTCCTTCGATTTCTCCGCTTTTATTTCAATTCGGGGCTCATTCGACTTGTCACGCGTCGCGTCGTTCTTCGCTTCATTCTAACGTCCGCATCGTGCTCTCTTGCCGTACGGATCTATTTGTTTTTTGCTGCCACCTAAATCTACAATAAATAACATTTTGCAGTGCTCAATATTACCTGCAAATTTTCTACCTTGTTCCTCTTCGATCCTTGTTTGGACCCTGCCCGAGGTAATCCTGCTTGGATATCGATTTGGAAAAATTCATCTTCGGATTCTTAGTAATCTGCTTGGAAGATTTGGAGAAGCTTTTTTGCGCCTAAACGGAAAAGAAAAGGGCAATCGCTTGATCCCCCTTCTGATGAAATTTATTTGAGCAATCAATTTGACATTCTCACGGATGATGATATTGATCCATCATCCAGGCAACATTCCATTAAACATTCCCAGCTTAACGCCACGTAGGAAAAGGTCCCTCTGTTGTGATAACCACTTCAGATTTCTATGCTCTTCACACGGAACTTTTGAACTTCGTTAAATTTAAGTTTTCACTTTGAATTGGCCGTTGGGGCGAATGTCGTGTATTGACTGAAACCTTGCACGAGTTCAAAGGTCTTTTCAAGTATCTTAGTGAGAAGCAACACAATTTTTTCACTTACGACACCAACACTGAACGTCTGTTCAAGGTTGTATTGAAAAGTTTGCCCAATGGTGAATCCCTGGATCAGATCAAAGATAAATTGACTAAATTACTTGGAGTTGAGCCATTCCAAGCAATTTGAACTAAATAACCTTAAGGCATTAGAAAAAGTTAGCCTTATGCTCCATGTCCGAATGAAGTGGGAACACTTCAAGAAGACTGGAGAAAATTTCTTAAACCTCACCCAGTGCCGTAAGTACCAGGGATGGGGTCAGGAAACAAAAAATTCTACATGCCAGCTTAATGCATAAATTGTGGTACGCAAAGGACGATTGTCCTGTGTAGGAAGATCCTAAGAAATTTAAATGTTCAAATTGTGAAAATCCAATTTTTGGCGATCGATCCTACAATCTCGTTCTAAGCGAAAAGTAGGAAGTGCTCCACGTTCCCGACCAGGTACAAATTTCTCTGCTGTTAACAACGGTCAGCGAGGAACAAATTTTATATTCTTACCAATTGTACAAACCGCTCCCCTGATTCAAATTCTTCATCTATAACTGCTGCTAACAAAGTTCAGCAAGTGAAAGGAGATACCTATGCTGCTATTGTAGCTGGTAGAAATAGAAATCAAAATTCTTGCCAACATACTTCCAACGGAAATCTTAATGATGTTGACTTAGGAAGCATTTTACAGAAATCATTAATCGACATGATTGCTGAGATGCTAAAAACTAAATCCATGTTTGATACTATTCTTCATGGCTTTGAAATTCAGTAATGGATATCAAATCATTAAATATTTTAAATTGGAATGCTCACTCTCTAAAGATAATAAAGATGAGCTATTTAATTTCTTGAGAGTTCATAACTTAAACGTTCCTTAAATCTGATTATAAAGTTAAAAAGGGACGCATATTATTGAACAACTACCGGTTTTTATTCTGAGTTTGCTTTAGTTGAAGAGGTGGCAATTTCGTCTACCATCGATCAAGTTACGCCTTTGTTTCTGCACATCCGCAAGGAATTAGCAATTCAAAGGGACATCGTGCCAAAATCTGGTGAACTGGTTGAATTTGTAAGTACAGGTTGGATGACATCCAGTTCCTCTCTCATCGCCCTCTCTCATGTTCTTGAGAAAATGAAGCTGAATGCTTGTCAAGAACGATCAGAAAAATTGAAAATGTAAACACAATCTCCAAAGTCATTATTACTTTCAGGGTTGCCAAACTCATATCCCATGACATAATAATTAGCACACTTCGATACTTTCGGCACCATTTTCGGCACAACTCTCGGCACGCATTAAGATGTGCATAGTTGAATGCACCTTGTAAAGGCCTACTTTTCATAACTAAAATAAATAGAACTTTTCAGCATCCAGTGCCAAAAAGTTCTATTTAAGCAACAGTGCAAAATGCATTGTGCATTGAGTGCAAAATAGCTATTTAAGCAACAAGATGCCAAAAGTAGATTTTTTCATCACGAGTCGTACTTTATCGTCGTAACGACGTAAGGAAGCCTGCCCAATTTGATAATTACGACGAGTGTTGAAAATATGGAATTTGCAACGAGTTGCATACACAATTTTTTGCACTCAAAAGAATGCCTAAGTAACAGAAATTCACAGAATTATGTTGATTAAACTCTTGAGTAAACTGTTTTACAACCAAAAATAGTTATACAAAGGTTATAACGGGTGTTCAATAAAAAATTAGAATTTTTTCCAGTCATATAGCTAGTAAAACAAAAAAATTTTTCAACGAATTCAGTATTTTTTTTATTAAAAACATAATGTTTATTCTTCAAAAAAACGTCAATGAATATTGGAGAAGAGGCCCTGGTCAGCCGTACGACGCAACTTTGTCGCGATGCTCTCACAAGAGCGCTGAACGGCACTGAAATCATTCTCATTTTTTATTGAACACGCTTTTTGCTTAGGTGTCGAAAAGTGGAACTTTTCGGTACTGGATGCTGAAAAGTAGTTCTTTTCGATACCGTTATTTTAGTTATGAAAAGAAGGTCAAACAGTGTCGAAAAGTGACACTTTGGGGTAATGAGTGCTAAGCTATTTTGTATGCAACTTGTGGCAAAATTCGATTTTTTTACACTCGCCGTAATTATCCAACTTTGCAGCCCTCGTGTTGACTTTGCAAGCCTCGACTCGACTCGTGTTGAATAATTTTTTTTTGCAACTTGTCGTATAAATAGCTATTTTAAGCCTAAAAAATGTATGCAAAAATGACCCCCGATAAAACATTTAGAAACTAGCCTCCAAGAGGATCGTTTGGTGGGTGTTTCTGCGATACTGTTGCACCACATATTTTTATTTCTCAATCAAGGGATTATCAACTCTACACACTGTGCCAAAACACATCACGGCACACTACTCGGCACGCTAGGGCACAAATTGACAAGAATGCCACAGAATATATTATAAATCGGCATCACTGTTTTTTGCTGACGATTTTCCAATACTTGCTAAGGTTTCGCACTTTGTACACAGTC